GATCGCAAGCTGGCAGAGGGTAGATTCAGATTAGATATCAGGAGGTGCTACTTTACTGTCAGAGCAGCTACGATCTGGAACCAACTTCCAAGAGAAGTGGTGCTGGGTCCTACCTTGGGGGTCTTTAAGGCAAGGCTAGACAATCACCTTGCTGGGGTCATTTGACCCCAGTGCTCTTTCCTGCCGTGACAGGGGGTCGTACTTGATGATCTGCTCAGGTCCCTTCTGACCCTACTAACTATGAAACTATATCCAGTGCCATCCTGTCAAGCTGAGAGAGAGCGGCAGTGATTTAAGGTTTTGTAATAGCATCATAGTGTGAGGGGCACAGACCATAATGGAACAAGATTTGTTAGTTACCAGGGGTAGGAAAAGAAATGGCAACAGAGACCCTCACTACCTATTGTGTGGGTTGGAGATGTGGCTTCGTGCATGAGGGATGCAGGCCTATTTTCTGTAATAACTCTTTTGCAGATGTATCTCAGCTCCCTTTATGCCTGGATGCTTCCCAGGTTTGCCATTTGGAGGGCAGAGGACAAGTTTGGTCCGATTACCTTAGAGTGCACTTACATCCTAGGAGCATCTTTGAGATACAGCGGTACAATCATGATGGGTAGGTTTTTCACCTCAAAAGCAAAATGAGGCAACATTAAGCGTAGCGCCAAGATAGTACAGTGGGTTTACTGCAGTTCAAGCACCTTGCCAATTGCATACATGTCAGTGGGGGAAGAATCATGTGTCCTTCCTACTAAAGGACCCCCACAAAAGGCTGAAAGGAGCAAATGCCGCTCGGTTTGTTCTCTCTTCTAGGGATTCCAATCGCCTGGAAGCCTTTGGGCAGGGTGAAAGTCTCCTGCGTGAACCCATGTATCTAGACGAGTTGGAAGATAAACTGCACTTCTTTATAGAGGAGTGCGATTATCTGCAGGTATGCCAGGCTTAGCTGTTTGAGAACCTTTTCTTGTTGCACTTTGGTAGAAATTTAGATTCCACTTCTCTCTAAACAGGGTTTTCAGATTCTCTGTGACATGCATGATGGATTCTCTGGGGTTGGAGCCAAAGTGACTGAACTTCTCTGCGATGAATATTCAGGGAGAGGAATCCTGTCCTGGGGGTTAACACCAATAATTTGTAATACTGGAGTAAGTGAATAGTGGGGAAGTGAGGTGGTATGAGGAGATCGTGCAAATTAAAAGGAATTTTGGCACCTCTGGTTTTCTTTGCAGGATCCCTGCAAGGATTTTTACAGGCTTATGAACACAGTGCTGGGAACTGTCCACCTCTCCAGGCACAGCTCACTCTTTTGCCCCTTGTCACTCAATGGAAGCCTGGGCCTCAGGCCACAAGCGCCCATTACGTTACCATACATACATTATGATGTAAGTATGCTGTGTGCACTGACCCTGGGTGCCCTCGGGAGCACTTTACAGTATGGAAAGCTTGACACTTTGGCCAGTTCTAGTCTCTATTCCATACTGTGTCATACCAATAAAAACAAAAACTGATGTTTCGTGTAGAGATGTTCTGAAATTCTAAACACTTCTCTGATCCACCACTATTATTTCAAATCCATCCCACATTTTAAATGCTTATTTCCCCTCAATTTAAAACCTAAAACTGCTTGCCAGTAACCTTATAAAAGTTGTGCGGGTGATTTGTTTATTCACAGGCAAATTATTCTCTGATAATAGAGAAATACTAATCTGCTTTCTCCCTGAACATGTCTATAGTTCACCTTTCCCCTCTGCTGTACTCTCCAGTTCAACCATATGAATTAATTCAAGGTGAACAACAGATTTGCAAATCAAGGGATGTGATCCTGCTGCTCTATTTGGCACTGGGGAGGCCTCACCTGGAGCATCGTGTCCACTTTTGGGTCCCACACTTCAAGAAAGATGTGGACAGGTTAGAGTCCAGTACAGCCTGTGAAGTATGACTTGAGAGGAAAGGCTGAAGGAACTAGAGCTGTTTAGTCCGGAGAAGAGAAGACATGGGGGAGATCTGGTAACAGTCTTCAGGTGCCTGAAGGGTGATTACAAAGAGAACAGACATGGATTTTTCCTCAAGACTAAGAGCTATGGCCTCAAACCGCAGCAGAGGCAATTTATTAGACTAGGAGGAACTTTCTGACCATGACGGTGGTCAAGCACTGGAATGTATGGAAGCTGTGGAACGTCCATTCCTCAAAAATGCCAAGAGTAGGTTAGACAAGACACTCCGTTGGGATAGCTCAGTCAGGGAAGACCCTGCCTTGAGCACAGGGCAGAAGTAAAAGACCTCATGAGGTCCCTTCCAGCCCTACTCTTCTGTGATCCCTTCTGAACAAACTTCAGCAGCTTTTATTTACAACAGATCCAGAGGGGCTGTGCCCCAGAGCTGAACTCATTCTGCGGGCTTCAGATCTTATTTAACTGACTCGCTGTGTGCTTAGGTGGTGAATGTGAGCAACTGCAGAGGAAATCCAAACTGGGTCAGAGTTCTAAGCTCAGCCAGACAGTAGCTTGCTGCAGTCTGATTCACAATCCTCCATCAGCATTAGATCAATTCCAGCAACCTGAGCTTAATCTAATCCCAGCTCAACATAAACATTCCCCACCTGGACACATGTAGTACCATATGGAATCTTTACACTAGTGTCCACAGCAATGTTGCTAATGAGGGAATGAACAACAGTATGAAGTCTTTTTATTAAACAGCTTTCTCCTGATTGAATAAAACCTCAAAACAGATTAGTGCACCAGAACCAACGAGCATCTGTTGCCCATGCTGTAAAAATTTAACTAAATTTTTAAATACTCTAAACTTTGTCTTACCAACTGTTGTTTTGTCTCTGCGAATAGAAGCTACAAGTACTGGTCCCTTGGTTAAGCAATAGAATTTTTTAAGTAACACTTTCATACGGTAACTTTGCTGTGGTTTAATTACTTCTCTGCAGGCCTCTCTAAACTATCACAGCAGTGCAATCTTGGCAGCAGCACTGGAGACCATGACTGTTCCCTACAGACTCCATACTTCTCAGCTCTCCATGATGCAGCTCGCGGAAGCACTGAACTTCTCTGGGAGAAAGGTTGGGTTCATTCTAAAAACCATAATTGCTCAACCTTTTAGACTCACTGTTTAATGCTGTGGGTGCAAATTAATTTGTTCCATCAGCGTAGTGTCCACCTACATCCTCAGCACCTGTCCTCTTAGTTATGAACTAGTCATTTGTGTGTTTGGACATTATGTAACCTGCTGTCATGTGTCTGCTGATTGTTTCAAACAGTTTTGCACAAGTCCTCCTTGATCCTTAGCTGAAGCTGTGGGATCCCATTTGTTACAGGCACTTCTACAAGCCTGTTATTTCTCTGGCTCTCAGGTGGTGGCTGCAGGGGCTGCGATACCCTTTTCTGTATCACGTGGTCATTCTCTGCCAGATGCTTTGTGCAGCTATCAGCATGCAGTGCCATGGAAACCTTTGTCTTCGTGTGGGGAGCAAAAGGACAGTTTCTGTTTTGCTCAATCTGTTGTGCTGAGAGGAATTGGCAAAGAGAATCACATCAGGTAAGAGAGAGCTGGACCCTGTGTCTATTTTTGAGCTCAGGCACTTAATGGTAGTAGCAACAGGAATGTCTTATTGGAAGGACTGTCTAGTTCTGGAGATGCTGCAGCAGGCAATCTACCTGTCCTCTCAGGCTGTTAAAAGAGGGGCTGGGATTTAGTAAGGAGGGTCTGTTAATTATGAAGAATTACAGGACCCTTGCATTATTTAACTACCTGCTACTGACTTCAGGACATCAGCCTCCTGGCTCAGGCACAGTTATCAGCATTATAATGCACGCTTATTTATTTGCAGTAACTTTCCTCCTGGGACGCAACCTAGTTCTGCCCTCCACGTTTATGAAACTGGAGAGGAGGTTCTGGGAAACTACTTAAATATGCTGTCCCCTGGAACATTAAGGTCGGTAATACAGCATTGGAGGAAAAGGGTCACTGACTGGGCACTGATAGTGGTGAACTTTGGCTAACTGGCTCAATTTGTTTCCATGGCAGCATTTCACATTTGCTCCAGAGCCCATGTAAAGTGCAGTCCCCATATCCCCAGTTTTTTTCCCCTCTTCTGAACAAACAAGGTTTTCTCTTGGACAAGCCTCGCTCACATTCAGCAGGTAAGATGCTAACATGCACATCTCCCTCCCAGTTTATCATAAAAAACCAGCAGGAAAAGAGACATGAGTAGCTGGAGGGAGATGGCTTATGTTTACACAGTCAATCAAAACATATCCTCTAGTAAGGAAAGATGAAAAGGGGAATGGATAAGAAACATGGTAGGTAATGTACTTGGACTTTGCTTTCAGAATAGTCTTACTGGAGATGTTTTCCCCCACAGCTGTTGAAAGTATTCCTGTACTAACAGCACTGCAGTCCTCGCCTGTTCTGCATACAGCACTCTACAGTTTATACAAGGAACTACAGAAGGTAGATGTGCGGCGCTGGGCTAGCTTTTTTGCTGCGGGAATTGAACTTGATGACTTTCAGGAAGCCCTGCATGAATTAAGAACTCTATCCCAATGCTATAAAAGAAATTCGGAGCCAGATGAGTCAGAGGATGAAGCTGACTCAGACTAACGCTGCTTGCTTTTACCAAGCTGGGAAAGACCGTGTAGTGTCAAATTAACATCACCACTAAAGAACAACTTTCTGAACAAACCTAATCTGTGAGGCCAAAGTTCTATTACAGTAATAAAGGGGGGCTTACAATCTGTTCAACGACCTTTAATTCTGGTGTAAAGGAGAGAACCTTCATACAAGTACCAGTCTTTTTCTGCTTGAAGTTGATGTGTGGTTCTTCAAGCTTGTACTTGCACTGATACTGCCACTTTATCGCCACAGAGTAGGAGGTTAAGTTATGCTTTAAAGTATGTTGAAACTCACAATAAATATGGGGTTTTTTTGTTTGTAACCTATCCAGATATGGACTGGGCACATCAAGGAAATTTACAAAAGCAAAACAAAAAAAATAAAATAAAACTGGGAAAGTATTTACTTCCCAAGAAAGCATTGGCATGTTGTGATACACTATTTACATGAGAAGTTTAACTGCATTATCCACAATAATCCAGTAGACTTCAAAGGGCTACTTAGTGTAGGGCTTCACAACCCAGAGTGGCTATGGATCCAGTGTCTAAGCCACTGTACTCAATCACCTGTTTTCCACAGAATCCTTACAAAATTCTCCTTTGAAAGGTGGCTGAATAATGTTGTCCCAACAATGCTTCACGTGACAGATTCAGGTCTGTGCTTACGTAGGCATACAGCTTGTCACAGGTGTATGTCGTCCCAAAAAAATAAGGTGCCGTATGAAGTACAGCCCTGTGCAAACACTCATGCCTACCTCCACCAGAGCATCCATCTAGCAGCAAACTGGCCAGCAGCTACCTTTTTGAAGTAGTTTCTTTAACAACCTAAAGCTTCAGTCATCCTGTTCTTCCTCAGAAAGGAGCAAATCTTTATCTGACAGCTGGTCTGCATTGCTGGTGCTTGTTGCATCTTCTTCATCCTCAGAGCTCCCATCACAGGATGTGTGGAAGAGCCTCATTAGTTCCTTAAATCGATGGGAAACCTGAGGAACAAGACAGGCCAGAAGTAAGGACCCCCAAAGTTGTTTGTATAATGGCAAGAGCGTACAGAGTCTAAACAAAGATTTATGCAAGTGGGAGCAAAGATTAAATAACCTTTTGTGAAGAAAACAAGGGGAGGAGGCTGGTACATTTGCATTACAGAAATGGAGCTGAGCTAGACTGGGGTAAGAGCAAACCACTGTAAGTCTCAGGATTCATCTTACTGGGCAAAATCATCTTCCTTCTTAAGGGAAGAGTTCACACATTCTCCATAGGGAGTATTTAGCCGCAAGGGAAATTCAAGAAGTTAGGGCTAGTATGGGATGGCGGGAAATTCCATAGGTCTGAGTTTCAATTACAGAGCCTTATAAGGAGGCTGTGCGCTATTAGCTCTGTTAAATGTGCAAATACAAGAAAAACACACAGATTTCAAATAGGAATCCAGTGTCAAAAGACTTTATAAGCTGCTGTAGGCTTTCTGAGTTCTTTGCAAGATCTCAATTTTTCCATAGTCAAGCAATGTGAAAGCTAAGAGCTGACCTTTTTCCAAGGGGTGCTTTGAGTCTAAAAAGGTTGAGAACCATTACTATAGGGGTTGTAAAACTAGGTTTAGAGAACCAGTCCCCCTTCTGATGATGCATATCCTAACTTGCAACACCTTGTGCAATTTCAGTCCTCTTGATAATCCTCAGTAGCTCTGTGACAGGAACGAAGTCTGGTTTTGCTTATGGTACAGGGGAGAAATAGAACCCAGGACTGAGGTGTGTTAATGCAGTAACCATCTCTGCCTCTCAGCACGTCTTCTGCTCACCCTTAGGAGTGTGCAGGTTCTTCCCACAGCTCTTACCTCATTAGCAGTTTTATTGCCCAGTTTCTGTGAAATGGCACAGAAGGTTTCCAGATGGGCTCCTCGCTCCTGGCAGGTGGTTAGGATGACTCTGTCAGCCTCCCTGGAAGAAGTTGAACAGTTAAGAAGGTAATATAGGGCATGAAAAGGAGACTGCCCCTTCAGGCACTTCATACACAAAGAGCCTTTATTTCAGATAGGGCAGCTATCTACTCTGCAACACTAGCCTCACTACTTGAAAAGGCCAGCTCCAACACGAGTTGTGCTTAGCCTCCTCTCTGGAAGGGGATCCTGCAGAAAAGAGAAGGCTGAGGGGGGACCTGGTGACCATCTATAAACTCACTAGGGGGGACCAGAAGGGTTTGGGAGAGACCTTAGCCCCCCTGGCATAACAAGGAATAACAGCCGCAAGTTGTTGGAGAGTAGGTTTAAATTAGACATCTGTAAGAACTACTTCATAGTGAGGGCGGCTAGGATCTGGAACCAACTTTCAAGAGAAGTGGTGCTGGCTCCTACCCTGGGGGTCTTTAAAAGGAGACTTGATGCCTACCCGGCTGGAGTCATTTGAGCCCAGTTTTTCTCCTGCCCAGGCGGGGGGTCAGACTTGAAGATCTACAAGGTCCCTTCTGACCCGACTTCTATGATTCTATGAATTATACTTTTCCCCTACCCACAGTATTACAATTATAGCTGCCCATAATGAAGATAGTATTTTTAATGAGAGAGGACAGGCATATTTCATGATTTTAGCTGCCTTTGATGGGCTTGAAAACACTAGGGGAGAAGGAAGGAAGGAAAACATTAGCAAGCTGGAAATTAAGGAAGTTTTTCACTAACAGAGGACTTTCCACCAACACTAGATACAACAGGAATGTAAAATTTGATGAACAAGCACATACCTTGTCCAGAGAACAACCTTCTCCCCTGTAGAGCTGACTTTGCTGTTTTTTGCGCACACAGTAGCTTCCATGACTTTCTGTTGCAGCTCCTCTTCTCTCTGTTCCAAGGAGGCAGGAGCTGCTCTATACTCCAGCTCCTCAGACTGTTGCTGCACTTGGAAAATGCACTCACAGGTATTTGCCTTGAGCTTGCCCTGTGCTTTCAGGTCAACAGGAGACTCTCCAGCACAGACTGTATAATCTGTTTCTGAAACAATGTGGTTACTGGAGGCCTGTGAGCGTGAGCTGTTACCCAGTGCCTTCAGTTCTAGTTTTGTGACTGGTGTAGCCCAGTTTTGCCTTCCTTCAAGTTTTCCTTCAAGGACAGTAGGTTTTGCTGATGAATGTGACTGAGAGGCTGTGTTCTGTTGCAAACTCCTTCCAGGATTTGAACCAGCCCCTGTGAAGCCTCTCCTTTTAGCAGATGCAGACCCTAAAATGTCCTTGGCAGGGCCATCTCCTTGATGTTTCTGATTTAGTCTTACTTCACTATTACTTCCTACTGTGCAAAGGCTGTTCTTTGTCTGCTGAGTTAGCTTCAGATTAACTCTTTGTACATGGGGCCAACCAGGAGTGCTGCCACATTGACTTCCCTTTGCAGCATCTGTAATACCAGCTTTTGCAGACTGCATTTCTGAGAGCTGACTATCAGGAAGTGTTCCTCCTTCAGAAGACACAGCTCTGCATAAGATCATCTTTCCTTCCTGGCGAGACCCTACCCAGGAATTTCAACAAGATTAGATCAGCTGTTAGTAGGAACAAGTTCGGAAGAATATGAAGAGATTGTTGCAAAGTACCATAAGCCAGAGAACAGAGAGAACCTTGCCTGTGCTTTGCACCCATCACTATCCTCCCCCCACCACCAAAGCATATTCCGAAAAAAGGTCGAATACCGATTGTTTTAGAGGAAGGCTGAAGGGACATTGGTTTGAGCTGCTGTGTTAAGATGAGAATGAGGGAAATAACTAGGGGCCCATCATGGACAGATGGAACGGAGATGGAGAGGGCACTTAAGTCTACCAGTAGCTTATATGAAGAAGATACAAAGTTTGTCACGCATGCCACAGAGGCAAATGTTTCACAAACAATCAGGGCAGTTCACAATGGATGGATGATGGATGCTTTTGGCCCAGACAGGCTACTGATTAATATTGGGGAAGACACTTAAGCCCTATACTGCTTAGTTTTCACATGAGCCAGTCTGCACAGGTATGCAGTACTTATTGTCCATGCGTATGACCTTCACTAACCTGAAGCCAGAGAATCTGCTTTCCTAGACATGGTCTTTACTCTGCTCTGGACACATTCCACATCTCTGTACTCCAGGTTGTCTTCTGCAGACTCTTTACACATCCCAGGATCCTTTCCTTCAGGTTGAGGGCTCAACTCTTGTTGAGAGAGGCTGCCAGTAAGCTCCTGGGAATCTTTATTTTTATAGAATTTGCTATCACACACCTGCAGATGACAATATGAACCTTTTTATTACACTCAGTGAATCTGCCCAGGCCACAGCATCGCAGCTCTGGAGACAACCGTCACTGTCCCCCAGTTCCCACTCAGCCTCCTTTATTTACTCTCAGGTCCTTAGATGAATGGTCAGCTCACAAAGGAACCATGCAAGCTTCCTCTCCAGAGTCTTTACTCCCTGCCCTGGAGGAGCATAAAAATCTGTTACGTAATACAGTGGTGAGGGAGAGTTAATGGCAAGCAGGACACTCATTGAAAGAGGCTCATCGCCAAGTCAGAGCTCAAGAAGTAGGTGTTCATAGACACCTGATGTTTTGAGAATTTTTGTTTTATACAACAGTCTGGAGACAGGAGGGACAGGACCCAGTAGAACATCAAAATACTGAACAATGGGATATGCAGTGGGACTGTCCATTGCTCTCACTATCCAGTGTTCTGCCCTTCAACTGACCTTACTGTTGCAATGGCTGCAAGTCCTCCTCTTGCTCTTCTTTAGTTTGAGGTCACTACTCCCTTCATGGCAGGAGCACGAACATTCTTTCCCCCCATCTGCCCACTCCATCTCCTGGAAAAAAAAACGAAGGCCAGCTGATAACTGCATACATAACACATGCATACCAAAGAGAAGTATGTCACAGGATGGATAGTCTATCAGAGGAGGCATGAGGGACAAAGGGCCAGTCTGTTGTCCCCAGTGAGAATTCAAATAAGCTGCCAGAGATCAAAGTAGGTGAAGTCTGGACAGAAGCCTTTCTGTTGCCTAACACTTTAGAGACTGGGATCACCTCTCTACATACACATCAGTCCTCCTAGACATACAATTGCCAAGAATTTTGAAGAGGCCACATGCTATGGGCTAATCATACATCCCAGTCCCACCTTGTCATTGTTCTGGCCTCCAATCTCTTTCCTCTTTCTATTTTTCGAGGTTGTGTGCAGCTTGGGGGCTTCGTCTTCCTCTTCTACCTCTGGTAATGACACCTCTTCAAACCCATCAAACTAAAAGAAGCACAGAGGCTATGTTACCAGAGTGGCAAGAGGTGCTCTCCACTGGACTTAAGCTTTCTTGCCACCTTCCACAAAGAGGCTTCATAACATCAAGCCCTGTTTCAGGGCAGCAGGACCACAGGCACATTAGAAACAACATAAATGGGCCACAGAGCTTGAAATGGTCACCCCCCAATATGTCCCCAAGCACCCACAATCCCGAATCTCCACTCCAAATTCATAGCCTCCCTATTAGGGCCATCAGTCCCTAGCCTCCTACTTCTCTCTCCTAGTCTTGGGAAAGTGTCTCCACCTCATACTCTTTCTCCTCTGTCCAATTAATCTCTTCAAAGTCTCCCATGCGGCTGGCTGATGGTCGTAAGTGATCAAAGAAGACAGAGAATTCATCCTGCAAGTGGTCGTGTCCTTTCAGCAGCTGCCACATCTGGGTCTTCAACTACAGAAAGAAGGTCCAGAGTAAGATAATGCTCCATCCCCAAAGGAGAACACAGCAACTCACAGATTTCTTTTTGGGAAATTAGGACTTCTGAGTAGGGACCCACCTAACTCACAGCAAGAGAAAGCAATTTTGTGGCCTGGTGGCAGCCCAAAGAGCCAATTTTGTGGTCATTTAATGGCAACCCCACCCCTCAGTGCTGATTGGTGGAGAGGCCCCAGATGAAGAAGGGACAGAGGGGTGGCTGCCATCTTGACAGCTCTCGTGCAGCCCTGCCCCTCAGCACCGACTGCCAGAGGCATAAGGGGGCAGCCACTGTCATACTGCCCTACCAGCCGGTGGTGTGTCTGTCCTGTCCCATGCCCATCCCCACCCCGTCGCAGCAGCAGGAAGACTACCGTTTCCCACTGGGAAGCCAGCATTTTATTTTTGTTAAGTTTGGGGGTTTTTTGGTTGATTTCCTGGGAAATCACAGCCAATGCTATTTTTTGTGGCAATCACAGAGATTTAAGTAGATTCCTACTTATAAGTCTGCACTACCAACAAACTCCTTTGCTAGAACCACAACGGCTCCAGCTTGCAGTGTTAACATCCAGATTGCTGTTGATTTTGGGATCATTCTGCTTCCAGGTATAATGCTGGTAAAGAAGCATATCTCCAAAACCTCAGGCAGAGGCACTAAACTAAAGCACCATCCTGCAAGATAACTTGAGGAAGGTAGAGGTGGGAGAGAAGGTTCACATGGGCAAGACAGCTCTATAGTCTTGGACAGCAGGTTGGGGCACTTACTGAACATCTAGCTCTGCAGTCATCCCATGTGAAGAAGTATCTGAAGGCTGGTTAACATTGCTATGATCTCGACAGGGGAAGCAGGGGACACATGGATAGGCTGGTTACCTCTGTGATCTCCTGGGGGAGGCAGTCTGCACAACTCTGCAGGACTTTGATAATCTTTTGATGGTGGGCAGGATTTTCAGCAAAACAGATTTCCAGCTGCCTAAGGAACTTCCGGCTTTTTTCAAATGCTTGTTGCTCTTCAAACTGTCCAAAAAGGAAGAACGAGAGCTTTTCACTCTTCACATATTAGGCTACCTTTACAGGCATCTCTAATCTACTTTGAGAAGCTAAGCAAGATGCATCCCCCTCCAGTTAAGTGTTTTATATCTCACTCAGGACTCTGCACTGCAGACCTCAGGCAGAACAGAGTAGTGGCAGAGAACTGGCTTAAAGTCTAAAGACATACAATATACAACAAGGGAAATTATCTTAAGCATGTTTACTGGCAATAGGTTTTTATCTTCATTAAATGCTGAACAAGGGATGACTCTAGCTTCCATCATGCTGAAGCTTTCTGCAGCACTGTGGAAATTTTAATGCAAAAGTTCCTTAAAAAATAAGTTCCTCCAATATTCCAGGCTCCTGGAATATGGGGAAGCCATCAACTTCCCCTCTAATTGATCCTTCCCACTATGCTTAGCTCTTTCACTCTTCCTCCACTCCTATGACATTTCTCACATTCTTCTGTTCAAATTGTCCCGTGCACTTTTCCCCTTCTGCCTACCAGTCCACATTCCAGAGCTTGTTCTGGTAAAAGAAAGGCAGCAAAATCTGTGAGCAGTTGTGGCCACTCATGCAGAAGGTTCTGCAAGGTGGAGTAGAGGTCCACAGCCGTCCGCTTGTCAGAGCTGGTCTCAAACTCATAGATAACACGAAGGAAGTCTTCATACTTCCCAGGAACAGAACGCAAGGCTTCACGTACCTGCAAAGAGGGGTGGACAGTTATGAGACTTCCCCCTGGCTCACAAAGACAAGTTAATTCAATAGCCTCTCCACTACTCAGCTCTTCTCCAGTGCTTTACTTTCCCAACTCTTAGAGATATAAGAACTAAGCTCAGCAGAGTCACAAACTCTGAAAATAAGAGCGAGATGGATCCCTTCAGCCAAGTGGCACAGGGGTTAATTCTATGTAACAAAGAAAATACAAGATTCACCTTCTGTCCAGGAAGATAAGACTGCTAAGGGTCAGCAGATGCTTGCTTACCCTGTTCAGATAGGCCTGTGCAAATGCCAAATCCTTCTGTTCTCGCAGAGGGTCTCTCTCCAGAATGTCTTCATCAAAGAGCAGCAGCAACTTAGAGGTGTCCTTGCTGGCACGAGTTCGTCCTCTCTTATTCCTGGCTCTGTAGGAACTCCTGTTTTTTCCAGGGACTTTTGCAGCATCACCTGAAAATACAGTTGTTATAGTTATGCAGATACCTTGCTCCAAGGAAAAACTCTGTTGTAGCTGGAGCTACCAAATACACTAACTGCTGCTGGGGTCTCCATGGAAACCAGCCCCAGCCATGCGGGAAATGGCTGCTGGGAAATGGAGTCCGGCCACCAGCTGGATCCACCATTTTGCCCACCCCTGCTCTAGCTTGCATCGTATGCTGCTGCTTTCCTCAACACTGAGGGTTTGGAACAGGCCCCCCCCAGACATGGTACAGTCATCCACCCTGGCAATCTTCAAAAAACATTTTGATGCCCATATTGCTGGGGTCATCTAATCCCAGCAGTCTTTCCTGCCCTAGTGCACGGGGACTGGACCTGATGAGGTCCCTTCCAGCCCCTAACAACTATGAATCACTGTGGAAGATTTCATGCAAGAGTTCATTAAATTAGTTCTTCCAGTATTCCAAATTTCTAGGACACAGGAAAGCCATCAACATGCCTGCCAAGCCATTCTTCCTACTATGCTGACCTTTTCTTCCATTCCTGCAATGTTCACTATATTCTGTCTGTTCAAATTATACAGAGAAGAGCAACCAAGATGATCAGGGGTATGGAGCAGATCCCGTACCTGGAGAGACTAAAAAGATTAGGTGTCTGCAGTTTGGAAAAGGAGACGGGGGTATGATAGAGGTCTACAGAAGGTGTGGATAAAGTGAATAGGGAAGTCCCAGAATGCTAGAACTAGAAGAACCCACTGAAATGAGCAGGAAACAGATTTAAAACTAATCACAGAAAGCACTTTTTTATGCAGTACACAGTTAACTTGTGGAACTCATTACCACAGGAAGTTGCAGAGACAGATATTCTAGCCTGGTTCAAGAAAGGACTAAAATTCATGGACGATAGCAGTTTCATA